TTTTTTTGTTGTTGTTTACGAAAAGTTTTACTAATGTGTTAATATTTCAGCACAGTTATTGCAATGGGTTTAAAAGGTAGACAGACATGCTATTACAGGCTATAAAGTAATAAAGGAGTTTTATACAATTAAAATAATACACAGACCTATGAGATTTACTGAATAACTCCCAGATCCAGAAAAGAAATTAAATCTGAAAGATGAAATCTAGTATTAGCACCTATAATACCTCTGAAAATAAAACTTTTAACTGCTTCATTCTTTCCTAATATATTTCTTAACTTTCTCTCAAATATTGTGCTGTCAAATCCCCCAAACAATGAAGGGCAGCAGAAACCAATACTAAGAACACAGAGACAAAAGAAAAGCTAGAAATATAGACTCAGACTTGAGGGTCTAACTTGTAAGTCCCTTAACTTTAACCAATCTAAGATCTCAGTGCACTGAGTAATATATATGAAGACTCTATGAATCATAATGTTTGCCAGTATATACAATATTATTCCTCTCAAAAATTTCCCCTCATAAGTTACAACAAAACTATAGTCACAATATGTATTGCACTTGCTTATTACACACTCAGGGAACACAGCAAAGACATTTATGTGTTTGGGTTTAGCATCCACTTTATTGTGCTTCCTTATTTGAGTAGTGGACAAGGAACACATAGCACATCTTCCCAACATTCAAGGTAATGCAATAAGGAGGAGGCCTGGGGAGCATATCTTTTCTCATTCTGTTCTTGGATGTATTTGGAGACTTCAGAATCTTCTCATAATTGCATAAGAAGATGGATATGCATAAGAAGATGGTGTGCCCTATTAAACAAGCCAAACAGCCTGCAAGATAGGATTGACTGGCCCCTGAGCTTCTCTACTTCTGCATAAAGATTGTTAAGAGTTCGCAGTTTCTTCAAACTGCAACCTATCAATCAGGTTCTCCAGCTCCGCAGGGAGCTTGTTCCGGAACTTGCAGGTGTTCTCCTGCTGTGGTCTCTGAACACACACCTCCCCGGGCATCCGCGCCTGCTGAGGCCTCCTGGCGAGGACGGATGGCCGCGCTGCGAGTTGCGGAAGGGGAAGCAGCTCGGGTCAGACCAGGGGCTGGACTGGGACTCTGGGCTGTCAGGCCTGGCCCCACGACTCCCCAGCCCGCTCACCGCCCCAAGAAGTTCACAGCCTCCCCCTCTGCCCGTGCTTCTGTAGCAGGGCATCAGCCACCACCCCGGACCCCACATTCCGGTCCGCCCGGGAAACCCCGTGTTTGTATTTTTTGAGGAAGGGTCCCTTACGTAGTCCAGGCTGACCTTGAGCTCACTACGTAGTGCAGGCTGGCCTCAAACTCACAGCATTTCTCCTGCCCCAGCCTCCCAAGTGCTGGGATTACAGGCATGTGCCACCAAACCTAGTTTATTGCTTTTCCCTTTATTAAAGAAAACTAGTACTACATAATTTACAGTTCATCAATATTTATTATGTTTTTAAAAGCATTTAAAATAATGACAGTTTGCACATCCTATTTTAAAATTGGTATTTTAATGAACTTTTATTTGTTATTACTAATTTTAGGAGAAATTTTGAAATTTTTTTTTTTTTTTTAGAAATTTTGAAATTTTAATGTTGAAACAAAAATATGTTCTTTTATAACTTGCAGTTGAAAATGACCTGTTCATTTTAAATTTTGGAAAAAATTCTATGCTGAGCTGGGCAGGTTAGTATACACTCTTATAACCCCAGCACTCTGGAAAGCAGAGCCAAGAGGATGACTCAATCAATGACTCAGTGAGGCCCTTTCTCAAAATAGAAAATATTTGAGAATGTGGTTTGGTGTTCTAGTTCAGGGATCTAGTTCGGGGCAAAGGCTGTGGGTCCAATGCTCCACACAATAAAAGAAAAATTCTAGCCTGGAGATCAGATTTAACTCTTCCTGCATTATTTATATATTTGGATTATTTTTAAAATTGCAAATGAAAAATTGGGTTTTAATGTGACACAGAATCATAGAGACTTAAACCAGGTGTGGTGGTGAACTCCTATAGTCACAGCACTCCGAAGGCTGAGGCAGGATGATCAAAAATTGGGGGAAAATAAGCGTGGAAACAAATTAGAGTCTAACATTTTTTGTCATAAAAGTACTTCCATTGCACTATTTGTTAGAAATCATTCTAGGCATCATTTGTATGGATTTATTTTCAGTTATATTCAGTGGAAAATGTCTAATATTTGTAACTTTCTGGGGAAAAGACAAATTTGACAATGCTGAAAGCATGCATTGTTTGCAAACCGCTGCCACTGCAGTCACAGAGCCCAAGACCCTTAGAGGTCATTGCCAAAGACAGATCCTCTTCTCCAGCGTTCCTGCCGCACAGCATGAGCCCGGCCTCCAGTCTCCAGGCTTCCAGGCTCCAGTGTGTGTGCAAGCGGGGTCTCCAGGCTGCCTGGAGGTTGGAGTTACCCAGGGGTTAAAGAGCACTAATGCCTGGGTCTCATGTCCAGAGCTTGTGACTGAATTCTTCTGGGATGTGGCCTGGGCCTTGGCGTCCCTAACAGATCTGCAGGGGACTCCAGAGGGCAGGCAGGTCTGGGAAGGGCTGTGTGTGGAAAAGCCCATCACTGTTCAACAATAGGGAAGCACAGGGTAGAAACCTGACCCATGTTAGGAAGGTTCTACAGTCCCTTAGATATCACTTGAGAGGAGTTACAGCTACACACATACACATGAACGTGCACACAACCTGTGTTTGTGTAACATACAGGAAACATTTCAACTTATATTTCAGAACAATTTCATGAGAAGCTCTCACACTGAAACAGCGTCTGTGATGATGGGTTATAGTGGAAGGTACTGGACTAGGTGTTAGAACTCCAGCTCTGTCACTCTTATTTCTAACCCCTAGTCTGGAGGAAAATATCTAGAAGTCCTACTGAACATTTATTTTTCACTTTTCAATACTAAATGTCTTCAGATTCAAAAAGTATAAAGAATTCCTTTATGTCCTTCACCTAACTTTCCCAAATATTGACATCTCATATAACTATAATAAAATTAAGATAAAAAATTAACGGTTGTATAATTCTATAAACTAATGTGCAAATTTTGCCAGTTATCTGACTAATATACTTTCTGGACTGAGATCCAATCACATATTACATTTAATTGTTTATGTGTTTGTTAGTTTCAGAAAAAAACACATCTCTCAAAAATAGTTGGAGTGATACTATGGTGACCCTTATAAGTCCTGTGCTCTCTATATACAACTGTAATTTTTCTCAGTATGAGGGACTGAATCCAGGACCTTCACACTGGGCCTTTTTTATTCTGAGACAGGATTTTCCTAAATTGCCCAGCTAGTGTTGAACTTGGAATCCTCCCACCTCGGCTTCCCAAGGTGCTGAAATTACAGATATGCACCACTGTGCTTGGCTCTTGTACAATTCTTTTTGTGCTGCAACATTTTAGCATTGGTTAAATACATTATCCTTCATCTTAAATATGTGAGTGAACATTTTTAAGAACAAGGACATTCTTTTATAATAACCATCATATAATTATCACATTCTGGAAATTTAACACTGTTATAATATGGATCATATGACTAAGTATCATATGATTCATATATAAATTTTACTGTCTTGATACTGTCATGTATGCTGATTTTTTTTTTTATCATCCAGGATTTAATCAAAGATAATGCTTTGTATTTAGTTGCCCTGTCTCTTTGATCTGGAACAGCTTTCCGGTCTGTCTTTCCTGACACTGACATTTTTTAGGAGTAAGACTATATAAGTAGGCATGGTGTGTAACACCTGTAATCCCAGCTAGTTAACGACGCTGAGACAGGAGAACGGCAAATTCAAGGATAGCCTGGAAAAGTTACTGAGGCCCTGGCAAAGTCAAATTTTTAAAAGGCTGGGATGTATCTCAGTGATAGAACATTTTCCTAGCATGCACAAGGCCCTGGGTTCAATCCTCACTACTGAACAAAAAGAGTAGAGTGAGTCCCCAACTTATGAACGAGTTCAAATCCAGGAGAATGTAAGTCGGATTCATTCATAAGTATGACAAAGTGAGTCTTATACACCTTTGACAAAAATATACAGTGCATATTGCATTGCTGCTTCCTAGAAGTCCCCTCTGCATCACCACTGCTTTTCGTCTCGCTTCTGGACATCCTGGGCTCTGAAGAAGAAGAAGATGATGATGATGATGATTTTTTGAGAGGAACTTTTGCTTTGTAGTTCAGGGTAGACTTGAACTTGTTGAGATCCTTCTGCCTCAGCCTCCTGAGTGCTGGGATTACAGGCATGCAGCACCACACCTGGCATGGGCTCTGGTTGAGCACTGCACTGCTTACTATACACTATCACACTGTACAGTAAGCACACAACATCACAACTGTGACAATGTCTGGCAGACACGTAAGCTACTTCTGCGATTTGTTTGCATGTTCATAATGTGAGGTCCATACGTATCTGTGAAAGTTCGCAACTCGAAGCTGTGGACCAAACCAATAAAGAATAATTACAACACTGTGCATTCCTGAACAGATGTTAAAACCTTGACTCATGACCCCAAGCAGAAAGCTGGCCTTTCTCATCTACAGCCGAGATAGGTCCCACGGAGTGGCACATGCCTTAGTCTCTTAATGGGAGGCCGAAGCAGGAAGATCATAAGTTAGGGCCCTGCCTTAACTAGGCTTAATTCAGTTTAACTTAAATTAGAGCCCCAACTTAGTGAAACTCAGGCTTTAAAAAATAAAAAAGTGTTGAGGATGTAGCTCAGCGCAAAGCGCTGGATTCAATCTTCAGTGCCACAAAGAAAAAGTTAACTCCAGCGTCTACAGACCTCCCTGGCCACCGAGTAGACTTCTCAGAGATGGTGGTGTCCTGGGACCTGCTCTGCCTACCCGGGCGCCCTTCCCGCGCTGGAGCGGCCTCGGTACGTCAGTCGGCAGAGACACGCCCTGCCCAGTTGGGCGTGACTCACACACGCACTCCCGGGTGACCGGCTGTGGGCGTGCCCGGCCCCAGCTTTCCAACCAGAGCCCTCTGCTGTGGGCAGAGCAGTCGGCCGTTGGAAGTCGGAGCGGACTAACTGGAATCTGCTTCTGTCTGAAAAGGGGACACCAACTACTTCATGCCAACATTGAGGGATCTGAAGATTTAGAAAACGCAGATGTGGCCATGAGGAACCCTTCTGCCAGCGCCCTCGAGTTTTTCTGCCCACTCTGTCCTCACGTGGTCGCGCCGGCCTCTCAGGAGCTTCTGGGTTGGGAGCTTCCGGAAAACCAGAGGCCCCGCAACGGCAGATGCATGTCCGAGGGGCCCAAAGCCCTCCTCCGGGTGGTGGTGCCGCTGCTTCTCGTGGGGTGCCTGGCGGACGCAGGTAGGAGCGCGCGGCGGGCTGGCTGGGGGGAGGGGCGCTAGAGGCACATTTTTGGAGTGGCATTATTAGCCAAAATGAAAATTATACTGTGACAGTTTACAAATTTGACAATGCTGAAAGCATGCATTGTTTGCAAACCGCTGCCACTGCAGTCACAGAGCCCAAGACCCTTAGAGGTCATTGCCAAAGACAGATCCTCTTCTCCAGCGTTCCTGCCGCACAGCATGAGCCCGGCCTCCAGTCTCCAGGCTTCCAGGCTCCAGTGTGTGTGCAAGCAGGGTCTCCAGGCTGCCTGGAGGTTGGAGTTACCCAGGGGTTAAAGAGCACTAATGCCCGGGTCTCATGTCCAGAGCTTGTGACTGAATTCTTCTGGGATGTGGCCTGGGCCTTGGCGTCCCTAACAGATCTGCAGGGGACTCCAGAGGGCAGGTAGGTCTGGGAAGGGCTGTGTCGGGGCCGCTGGGCTGAAAGGGGGTCAGGTGAGGCGAAGTTCCCAAAGAAAAGAACGTGCGTGGAGCAGACATTACCAGAAAGCAGGAGCCAAACTTTAATTCTCAGCGTGAGTGTGAGAGTTAGACTGCAGCTGGGGGCCCGAGCTACATGTCTTTTTCATCAGCTTTTCTGAGACGCACTTAAGACAAAACAGCCGACACTTTGCATAGCTGTGTGGCACGTGTGTAGTCGTCCCTGCTGATTTATTATTTTTATAATAAACTGCACCCTGCGCCTGAGCTAAGCAGGCTTTAACTCCTTAGATGCCTGGGCTTTGACACATCTGCCAGTGGCCCCTACAGGCCACACTGGAGAAAGCACATCACTGGCAAAGCGCATCACTGTCCAAGTAGGGGACCACTGGGACAGGAACCTGACCATGTTAGTGGATTGAGTCACTTCGGCGATTGAGTCATGTCCGGTGTCTGATAGCTTGGTTTTCTCTGATATGGCTTTGATGGACTCTTACAGGGAGTAAAAAGGGTTAGGAAGAAGGATGCCTGTTTCTAGCTGGGAGAGTTGGGTTTGCTGCTCTTCTGAATCTCCACCTTCCCCTCCATGAGCTCTCGTTTCTGTTTATAACCCTCAGAGAAGGTGCCTGATCCAGTGATGAGTGATTTGAGGTCTCATTCAGCAAAGGCCATAAGCCATTCACTATCCCCCTCTCATCACTGCCTCATTATTATAATAATAAAAAGAAATGTAAAACACATTATAATTTTCCTTTATTTATTTATTTTTTTTTAAGAAAAATAAGGTCTGTGTAGTTAAGGCTGGCCTTGAATTCACCATGAAGCCTAGGTTGGCCTCAAACTCGCAGCGATCCTGCCTCAGCCTCCTATGTGTTGAGATTACAGGTGTGTGCCACCCCATGCCTAGCACATTACAATTTTCAAAGGGCTTTGAGGCAGGAGGCTCACCATGAGTTAGAGGCTAGCCTGGGCTACATAGCAAAACCCTCTTGAAAATATCAAACAAAAAATAATAAGCTGGCACCAAACACGGCTCCAGTCTTCTTAATGTCTCTCCAGTAGAGGAGGTCAACAGCCAGGGAGCTTGCTGGTGGGGTGGAGGGTGGGGTCCAAGAGGGCTGGGCCTGAGGGCTTATGCCAGTAAGGTATGATAGCCTGGCTAAAGTAGTGCAATTAGCAGTACCAAGAGCATCTGACACAGTCTAGCAACTGACAGTGGTCCCTATTATTTGGTACCTTTAACCGTATGAGCAAGCGCTACTGTTGTATAACGAAATCCAACATAAGCCAGGAGCTTGTATGCAGTGAGTTTCCCTTTAGTAGAGTGATTTTATCCAGTGAGAGGGAAATTTAAGGGGGATAGGGGATGAAACGGAGAGATAAATGAAGAGAAATATAGAAGCAGGGCTGGGGGGCAAAGGATGAACACCCAAACTTTGGGATACTGGAGGAAAGGACAGGAGAGAAAGTATGAAGGAGGAACCAAAGGAATATTGAAGCGAACCAGAAAGGCAAGAGACAGTTTACTCATATGAAAGTTTCATAAAATCAAGAGAGGTAGTTGAAAGAAAGAAGAAGAATAGAACAGAACAAGAATGTATAAAGCCTGAACAACAACAGAAACAAAACAAAAAAAGCCAAAACGCATCCAGACGAAAAAAGGGAAACGAATCGAGCAAACAAGGAAAAAAAGGAAGATAATAAAAATACTAAAATTCCTCTGGTGTCCGCAGTTCTGTGTCAGTGTCCCAGGTCGGAGCCCTAAACGCGCTGTTTCTGACTTCCGTAGGTGGGACCTGGGGCCCTTCCCGAGTCAGCTGACTTCCAGCGGTCTCCTGAGCCCGTCCTCCCCGCTCTCTCAGCCGGGCAACGCCCTCTGGTGGAGCCAGCCTGAGGCCGTTCTCAGGGTTGTGCTCTGTTGGCCCCTCTGTTCCTCACCTTTGATTATTTTCACATTTTGGCCGTATGTATTTGTGTGTGTGCGCGTGTCCCTCCTTTGTCCCACCACTGGCTAGGGTCGTTTGCTCGTTGGTGTCCGCGGTCGCAGTGCAGGGGAGGAGTCTCCTGTTGCTGCCACCGGCCAAGGCCGCTTGCCCGCCTGCCTCTCTGGTCGTAGAGCAGAGGAGATGCCTCAAGTCCTTTGTAGCGAGGGCTAATTTTAGTGGCCCTGGGTGGTTCTGGGAGTAGAGTTTGGCTGGACCCTGTCCCTGAACATAAATTCCCTCAATCGGCTGACCAACTGCCGTCGGTCCACAGAGACTGGATGGCTCTTCCCTTCTTTCTCAGGGCAGCAAATCGAGCTTGGAAAGAATCGATGGCGTTCTGCTGTCAGGGCAAGCGTGTGCCTCTCTGCACAAAATGGCGGCCCCCGGCTGGACCCCCCCCCCTTCTAATTCTCAACATAAATGCTTTCAATGTGCTGACCAACTGCTAGCAGTCCACCATGACTGGGCGGCTATTCCCTTCTTTCTGTCAGGGCAGCAAAGCGACCCTGCAAGAAAGCGACGCTGTCTTATCAACGTTCAAACGGGCGCCTCTCTGCTCAAAATGGCGGCCTGAGCGCCACCTGCTGATGGCGCGAGCCTCACTATTTCCCCCCAGAATGGGCGTTCAGGGAATACTGTGTTGAGCTTTCGAAGCTGCCTCGGGCTGTATCAGACTCTCCGGATCCAGGTCCAGTCTCTATTTCTCAGTAAGCAGCAAAGTTATTTTCGCAGATCCTTACTGCTGCGGGTACACAGCTGATCCTCTGAGTCACGTGGTCTTCAATTCGAGTCAGTAATCTTATTTCTTCTGTAGCAGTGGAACCTGTTTTCTTCTTTTCTGTCAGTTCCTTCGAGGTTCTCCCGTTCCCTCTACACTTTTGTTTGTTTCTGGGGCTGTTAATTTCCAGGCTCCTGGCACCTTGTCCCGGAGAAGTTGTGTACCACTGGCAATCAGCTCTGAGTGTGTGTGTGTGTGTGTGTGTGAGATCACACCCATCCGAAATAGTTTCAGCAGTACTACGAATTCTCTTATGTCCTGATCTCATTCTCTCTGTACAAGTTTTTTAAAATGGGTTTCCCCCTCTTCTGTTAAGAATTGAGCCCAGGGTCTTTGCACTAAGGTAAATTCTCCAGCTCTTTTTAATTTTTTTATGTGAGACAGATTCACTAAGTTGCCCAGGCTAGGCCTAAACTTGCGAACCTTCTTCCTCAGCTTCCCAGGGTACTATCATTACAGATGTGCATAACCATGCCTGGTTCTCTGTGCAATTCTTTTTGTACTGAAACATTTCAGAATTATATTAAAGGTTTTATCTTTTATCATGAGTATGTGAATGAACATTTCTTAAGAATAAGAATATACTTTTATAATAACCATCATATAAATACAGTGGTGTGTCAGTTCACAAACAATTCTTTTCACAATTCTGGTCACAGCATTGCAGTTCAATTGCAACCAGAATCCCAGAATGAATTCTGCGACCAGAATTATAGAAAGAGTTAAATTTGTGAACCAAGGTATCAGTGTTTCAAATTCAGGAAATTTAACGTTGTTATGATACTGTTGATTTAACATATGACTCATATATAAATTTTGCTCAATACTGTCACATATGCTGATTTTTTTTCATCACCCAGGATTTAATCAAAGATCATGCTTTTCATTTAGTTGTCATGTCTTTTAATTTCCTTGAATCTGGAATAGCTCCTCAGTCTGTCTTTCCTTATATTAACATTTTTAAAGAATACAGATTACATAAGTAGAAATGGTGTCAAACACCTGTAATCCTAGCTAGTTAGGAGGCTGAGGCAGGAGGACAGGAAGTTGAGGCATAGTCTGGACACCTTAGTGAGGCCCTGCGTCAAAGTAATATATCTAGGTGGTAGAGCATTTGCCCAGCATCCACAGATACCTGGGTTCAATCCTCAGCACTGAAAGAAAAAAGTCTGGGGCATTTGTTTTATAGAATGTCTCTCAGTTCATTTGTCTAAACTAGTTGCTGTGAGCTGTCGCAAGAAAATATTCCAGACACATTGTGTTTTCCACAATACCAGAATTTATTAGATAACAAATTAACTACCTACATCTAGTTCAACAGGCTTATCTTCCAAATTAGCCTAGATTTTGCTTGATAGCCATTAGCCAGGTTATTTATTATTATTAATATTATTGGTACTGGGGATCGAACTGGGGTCCTTGTGCTTGCAAGCCAGGTGGCGGAACCGCTGAGCTAAATCCCTGGCCCAAGCCAGCTTCTTTTATTACCATTTTACTAACATCTCTAACACTCAAGTCACACATCACATAATACTGTGAAGTGAGGTAAGATTATGTGATGAATGTTTTACATCTGCAGAAAAAGACATTACCATTATTCCCATAAAATTCTCCACCTTGCTTCAAATACACTTATCCCATCCTTCGTGCCACTTCCTGAAGCAGTTCTGGAAGTCTTCTCTTATGAGCATCTTTAGAGGTGGGATCAAAAAAGCAGTGAATGCTGCTGCCAAGTGTGGTCCAACAGAAAAGGAGGCTAGTACAAACACGTGGTGTGTCCTCGTTCCCCTTCTTCACCTGGCCTAGCACCGTGCAACTTCTGACACTTCCCCAAATTAAACATGACCACGAAAGGTAAATATTTGGAATCAATCCAGGATATCGAGGGAGCCACAAAGGTGCAACTAAAGACACTCATGAAAGAGGACTTCCAGAACTAGCTTTGATAGGTCATGTGTGGATTTGCTTCTGACTGAAGCAGATTAAGTTTACAGGTGATCATTTTTATAAGCATGATTAAGTGCCGTTATCAGTTTTTGCCTTATGAGTGTGCTGTGCAGCTGGGGGTGTTCTTTTTCATGAGTTTGTATGTCTAACACCTGGTCATTTTCTGTTTGCACAGACAAGTGACCAGGTCCTTCTGTCTCAGCATTTACACTCAAAATGAAGCAGATTGCTGCTTTATAAAGTAGGGAAGGCACAGCCTGAAAGCTGTTCCGTATAACATGGAGTAACTCACAGGAGGGGACAGCCTGCTGCACACACCAGTGTTTCTCAAAGTGTGGACTGTGATTGGTGCTGATCCATGCAGGGTTGTTACCAACAGTGAGGAGGCCAACACCAAAATAGATCTTACTTGTGACAGTGGAGATCTGTATCAACACTGGAAAGCATTTTTGTGCCTGGTGACATTGATGATGAAAATTGGGAGCTTATGTTATCTTCTGATTTCATTTTTCTAATAATTCGCTTTTATTGGATTTTCTAAACTATCAGTCCTCAGTGGTTTGAGCCTTTTAAAAATGGGGGCCCTGCATCATAGCAGCACTGGTGTAGAATGAGATGCTGGAGGCTCAGGACTGTGCTTTACTTTCCTCTGAATCCCTTATAGCTTGACCAGGCCTGCAGAGTTCAAGAAAGGGTTGTTGTGGGCTAACCTGAAATGGCCCATTCCATTTCTAGAGATTAATTCTTATGTAGAGTCCAAATCTATTTCCCCAACTTACGTTTGCCTTCAAACACATCACATCACATCACATCACATAGCATGTCCACTCAGGTTGTAGCTTTTCAGAGATTTAAAGATGGGAACCATGATTTAAATCCCTGGTTGAAGCTAAAGGAGCTCATTTTAAAATTCATTTATAATGATTAGGATTAGGTTTAACTGAAAACTGTAACATTCTGATAGTGAAAGGTGCTCCTATGGATATAAACAAAACTACTGTGCTTCTAGTTGTGTGAAAGTATACCACCTACAACTGTGTATAGCATGTAATGATGAGAATACATGACACTGATTTGTGTATTTTCTGTGCTATGCTTTTTAATCATTTTAGAGTGTACTTTTTGTACGGTATAAAAAGCTGTCCCATAAAGGGTGATGCAGGCAGTAGCTTTGTGAGCTTGTGTCACCATGTCTCTTGGTCTCATCAAGAAGCCACGGTGAGTGGTTGACCCATCCATTTAGGTTTGTGTGAAGTTCACTCATTGATGTTCACACAATGATGAAACTGGATAATGACAATTCTTATGCCCATGTCAGTTAGTGACCCATGACGGTACTCTGAAACATATAAAACATTGTCAAAAGAAATGTAAGAAGATCTAAGTAAATGAAGAGAAAATGTTCTATCTCCTTCTGTGAGGCTGCCATAGCCAATGCCACAGATTGGGTGCCTTAAACAGAGATTTGTTTCTCACCGCTCTGGAGGCTGGGAAGTCTGAGGTGAAGGTGCCTGCTGATTGAGTCTCTGGTGAGGGCCCCCTTCCTGGTTTGCAGGACACCTCTTGCTGCGTCTCACACCAGAGGGGGAGATCTTTCTGCAGCTCTTGTTCCAAGGGCACTAATCCCATTCATCGGGCTCTGCCCTTAGGACCTAATCACTTCCCAGAGGCCCTGCCTCCAAACACCATCCCACTGGGAATTAGGCCTCAAAAGATGAGTTTTGGGAGGACAAAAACATTGAGTCCATAGCTCGTGCCACAAACATGTTCATGGATGAAATTGTTAACCTCATAAAGATGGCGGAACTCCCAAATTAATCAACAGATTCAGTGCAGTTCCTATCAGAGTCTCAGCTGGTCACTTGGTAGAAATTGATAAGCTGATTCTGAGATTCACATGGAATTGCAAGGGACCCCAACAGCCAAACTAATCTCAAAAAAGAACAAAGAGGGATCTTATGTGGATGAATGGGGTCCATGAACTGAGAGCCTGTGTACTGAGTCTTCTCACACCTAAGGCAAAAGGAATTTATTAGGTGATCATGTGAGAGAGTACCAAGGATCCTCATAATGGAGTTGTGTTATTTTCACAGGTTTTCTGGAAGTGGTGATGCCAGGAAAGCCTCAGATAGCACCACTGAATGGCAATGTCACAATCTCCTGCAAAGTCCCCGGCTGCCCCAGGCTGGACACCAGGATTATGGGAGTTACCTGGTATCGGAAGGATCCTGTGTCTGAAGCAGAGGTCAAGGTGTTTGAGCTTTATGGAGACTGGCAAAAGGCATTCCGACCTGGGGCCCTGGTGTCTCCACAGAGGCTGAAGAGGGGTGACGCCTCACTCCAGCTGCCTGGGGTTGGGCTGGGGGATGCAGGAGAATACCGGTGTGAGCTGACGGTCACCCCTCAGAAGGCAGAAGGAAGGGTCTTGCTGAAAGTTCTCGGTGAGTGCCTGAGGGCAGTGCCGTGCAGTTGCCATGGTGCTGGTCCTGGGGTGGGGATGCAGTTGGGCCATGTGGGGCAGAGGGTTAGTGTGTGGGTCTAACCCAGACATGGGCTCCCGTCTTGGATAAAACCTTGAGCCAGTTATTAGTCACTCTGAACTTCAATGCTCTACCAAAGAGGATTATAGGTAAGATTTTAGGCAAATGCAGATGAAATGCTTAGCATAGTGCTTGGTCCCTGTAAGTGCACAGTAATGATAGCATTACAAGTTATATAATTCACCTCTTGTATGAGCAGTCAGTGTCACTGAAGAAGTGGCAGGTCACTGGGAAAGGAGAGATGGGCTCTGGCTGGACCCATCTGGATCCTGTTTTGGCTTTACTACTTCTAACCTGTAACTGTGGCCAGTCATTTAATATCTTTAAAGCGGAATTTTCCCATGTACAAAATGGGCTCATAACTTCTACCTGCCTCACAATAAGATATGAGTAAAAGAAGGTATGGTGGCGCATGCCTTTTAATCCCAGTGACCCGGAGATTGAGGCTGGAGAGTCTCAAATTTGAGGGCAACCTGAACAACTTAGTGAGATTCTCTTTCAAAATAAAGTAAAAAGTATGAACAATAAACACAGATGCACAAGATAAAGCGAACAAATTGCTGAGTAGTAGCTCACTGGTAAGGGTGAAAATATCCAATTATTTGCCTGTTGTAATGTAGGTAGGTTCTCATCAAGGCTTAAACCATCTTCAAAAAAGCTCTTTTGAGCTTCTCTTTCCTGTTTTATAAAGGAGTTTGATATGTGTGTGAGCTTCATGGTTTATTAGTTTGCTGCGCTACCATAGCAAAGCAGCACTGACAAGGTGGCTTAACCACGGATGTTTATTTTCTTACAATTCTAGAGACTAGAAGTCTGAGATCAAAGTTTCAGTTGTGTTGATTTCTTCTGAGACCTTTCTTCTTGGCCTTCTGTTGGTTTTTCCTTATGATCTTTTCTGTCTGTCTGTCCTAAGTTTCTGTTCTTGAAAAGACACCAATTACAACAGATTAGGACCCACCCTGATAATCTCCTCTTAATTTTATTAGCTCTTTAAGTTTCAACTCTTCACATTCAGAGATATCAGGAACTCTGGGGAGGATGTATGAATTTTAGGGAGACAGCGTTCATAACAAAAGAGTAGCATTTTGAAACCTCCTTAATTGTATGTAGAACTTTAATCACTTTGTACATGTTAATATAGGAGTACAGAGGCATAGCGGTTAGAAAAATTCATTGATTCTGCAGATTACAGAAACCCTGAAATAACAGTGTCTTTTAAAAAAGGAATGAATAGACTTACAAGATAGTCCAGTGGGTTCTCATTTACTCCCACCACTGTGCAGCATTTATCCTATCACTAACAGCTTGGCTTAGTATGATGCATTTGATTTAATTAATAAATCAATATTGATAGGTTACTGTTAAAGTCCATAATTTATTCAGATTTCCTTAGGTTTTATCTAATATCCTTTTCTGTTCCAAGATCCCATCTAGAATACCACATACTTTTTTTTCCCAGTACCATAGATCGAACTCAGGACCTTGCGCTTGTGAGACAGGCTCGGTGCCACTGAGCTACATCCCTGGCCCTAGAATAGCACATACTTTTTTTTTTTTTTTTTTTTTTTTTGGTACCGGGGATAGAACTTGGGTCTTTGCGCTTGCAAGGCAGGCGGCGGAACCACTGAACTAAATCCCCGGCCTAATAGCACATACTTTTAAATAATTTTTTTTTTGGTACCAGGGATCGAACTCGGAACCTTGTGCTTGTGAGGCAGGCGGCAGCACCAGTGAACCAAATCCCTGGCCCTAATAACACATACTTTTAGTTTGCATGTGTCCTCAGTCTCTTTTTGGCTGTGACAGTTTCTAGACTTTCCTTGTTTTTGATGTCCTTGACAGTTTTGAGAAGTACTGGTCAAGTTTTTGTAGGATGCCACTCTCTTGGGATTTGTTTGCTGCTCTTATAATGTGAAGGGCGCTTTGGATTTTGGAGGGTGATCGCAGAGGTTAAGGGTGTTTGCACTGCATCATGTCCAATCACATAATTCGTGACTGTTCATGTTGAGCTTGATCACCTCAGTGCAGTAGTATTTGTCTGGCTCCTTCACTGTTAAATTACTCTTCCCACCTGCTTCTGTGCTGTGCACTTTAAGAGGAAGTCACTCTGTGTGGCCCCACTTACGGAGTTATGCCCCTTTCCCTTTGGAATGGAGTGTCTCCCTGGTTTATTTAGAATTCTTCACAGGAGACTTTTGTTTTGTTTTTGTCTTTGTTTGTTTGTTTGTTGAGACAGGGTCTCACTATGTAGCTCAGGCCGAACTCTCAGTGCTCCTCCTGCCTCAGCCTCCTGAGTGCTGGGATCATAGGCGTGCCCTACCACGCCTGGCTTGTTTTTGGTTTTGGGGGGTTTTTGCCATTCATTTATTTATTTAGTCATTTAATTTTGGTTTTATCAAAGTCTATGATCCAGGGGCCAGGGATTTAGCTCAGTGGTTTCACTGCCTGCTGCGCAAGCTCAAGGACCCAAGTTCGATCCCTGGTACCAAAATAAAAAAGTCTATGATCCAAATGAATTAATTTTTGTAGAAAGTGTAAGATCTCTGTGTAAATTCCATGTGGATTTATTGCATATGAATGTGCAGCTGTTCCAGTACCACTCCATGTAAAGACTTCTCCTCCAATTACCTTTCTTCCTTTATCAAAGATGAACTGAATATATTTATGTTGTTCTATTTCTGGGTGTCCTGTTTTATTGATTTATTTGTCTATTCTTTTATCAGCACAGTTGCCGGGAGATGCTTTAGCCACTTTTGTTATATTTGAATGACTAGACCCAAGTTCATACAGCTACACCTACCTGGAATAGAATTGAGTGTGCATTTAACTTGAATGTGTCACATCCAGCTAAGAATGCTCAGGAGAAGAAGTCTTTGCAATAACAGAAGGCTTTCTGTACATTCTGAATAGTATCTGGCACGGAGTAGTTGAAGAAACTCTTTCCAAAATTACAATGAGAGTTAAGGTCACAGCATGGCAACATCCCACTGGCAGTGGAACCTGCTTACTTAGACTACCTAATTTAAGCAGAGTCCCATTCAGTTCATTCAGCATTCCTGAAGTCTTTCCCTGGGTAAAACATCATGGTGAGGGCCAGAGATTTAGCTCAGTGGTTTTGTTGCCTGCCTTGCAAGCGCAAGGACCTGAGTTCAATCTCTGGTACCAAAAAAAAAAAAAAAAAAAAAAATCAGGCTGGGAATCAGTTAGTTTCTACCCATTCTCCAAGAATTCCCAGTCAGTTAAGGCAACTCATCAGGTCTTCAGTTTATTGCTGGGCATGCTTTTAGCATCACCTGTGTCACCAAATCTCCATCTTTGAAAGAGCGGATGCCTATGTTTTCTGTCTTGCCTGGTTACAGTAAAAGTGATGCTGATGTGTAGGTGTGTCAGAAGCCAGTTACCATGAGGCAAGGGGAGAAAAAGGTAGTTGGTTTTTGGGCCAAACTCTATTACTTCTTTTCCCTGGCAGCTAAGCCAGACAGCACAGTGAAGGAAACCATGGTGAAAAGTAATGACAGACAGCTCGTGTGTCAGTCAAGTGGATTCTTCCCAGAAGCCATAAACATAACATGGGAGGAGTGGACCCAGAAGGTTTCCCAGGACCAAAGGATTTCCAAGGACATCTTTACTGGTCCCACCATCAAGAATGAGGATGGTACATTTAATATCACCAGCTACTTGAAACTCAATGCCTCTCTGGAAGACAGTGGCACCATCTACCAGTGTGTGGTGGGGCACACATCCTTGAACGCCCCCCAGAGGCTGAACTTCACACTGCCTGTGAGAGGTAAGTGTCTTATTGCCCATTTCCTCCACTCTTTAACTCTAGGGCATATAGTTAAACTCTTTAGTTCCTGGACAGTCTAGGGTCTTTGCTAGTGTTTGATGGGGGAAAAGAATAAGCCTGAGCTAAGGGAGCAAGCTGTGGTCTGGCTCAGCTCAGCCCCAGAGGAACAGTCTTAGTCAGTCCCTGTGCCAGGCAGATGGTGTGGTAGGTGGAAAGGGGTGGTAGTCATCAGGTGGAAACAGGGCTACTTGTTGGCTCATGGCAGCTTCAGGTTTCTGGATAGTCCTTGTAGCTTGGAGTGGGAAGCTTATCAGCTGCTAAGGAAAGGGACAGGATTTTGCCTTTGTCCCCTGATGATACAGATCTAGTCCCAGGGAATGGGACTAGGACCCCTTTTAGTCAATCTCCAGATCCACCATAAACTGCTGTCTGGTAGAGGCCAAATTAATAGTCCTTAACAGGCTCTGTCCCAAGATGAGAGGGGACAATAGGAGTGATCCTCTACATGCCCACATTTCTCTCCAGACATACCCAATCCTTAGCGAACAGATTTCTTATAAAACCTTCCTCTTGTTGGGTTTTTTTGGCTCATATGTTGGTTGACTAGTTCATATATCTGGTGTTGGGTGGGGAGGACTCTGTTGGTTAAATGAATATTCCTGAGACAGCTAGGAGGCCTGGAGAATGTGAATGGGATAAGCCAGATTAGACCTTGGATGATCCTAAAAGGAGAAATGAATTGTTCTTGAAACAAGGGCTGGGCTATGTATCACACTGCGCAGTAAGCACACAGCAGCACAACTGTGGTAATGTCCAGCAGACACGTGAGCTACTTCAGACCCGTGATTTGTTCACATCTACAAATGTTCGTAATGTAAGGTCCACTTGTATACGTGAAAGTTCACAACTTGAATGTTCATAAGTTGGAGACTTACTGTACTCCGTTATGGGAGATGTGTATGATAGGAATGGTGATACCGAGACCTGTATGCTGAGCTGGTTGTTGGATCTAGGAAAATGACACAAAGTGCACAGGTGCTAGCAGCAATTGTGTAGGGTGTCTAAGGCCCTTGCTAAAGGATTCTTCTTACTGTTCTTTTCTTTCTCTCTGCAGAAGCTGAGAAGATACCTCTATATTTAGTCCATATTGGACTCATTATTATTGGGTGTTTTGCTGGATTGATTTTAATAATGTGTTATTTATTTTGGAGAAGGTAAGGGGGTCTGAAAGAAAGTGTAGTCCTTTGTTTTAGGCTTGGCTCCAAGAGCTCAGGATCATGGTCAGTGGGTGAGGTCAGGGAGTTCTGAGGGTTGGTGCTGGGGTGTTGTAAGTGTGGGGTTGGTTCTTTCTGATGTGTTGGGAAATAACTTTGCCATGGGATCACCATGTATTGGTTTATGACTCTGGGGAGAGTCATTGTGGAGCTTCCTGTGTCTCCATACAATGCAAGCGTCTCTGTTGATTGAACCTAATCATATGAGCTCAGACCAGAGCTTTGAAATATATGTAGGCTGTATTGTTTCACACACAGAGAAACCACAGCTGAGAGAAGAGAATTCACTCCCATCATTGCTCGTGTTTACTTCACACTTCAGTGGAATAACTCACCACCAGCTTTCACTGCCTTCACAGACTCTTCTAACCTTAGTTTATGTTTCTATACTAAATCCTTGATTGGGGCCCAAATAGCAAGTGACAGAACATTAGCTCTATAGACCCAAGAGACCAGATAAATGTGTTGGTTAAAATGGTTCTAGATGATACAGTTCTTCCAAGCTATTCATGGGCCTGCCAAGGAGAAATCTGTGCAAGAGGCAGCACTTCTCACTGTAAATGAAAAATGGAAAATTGAGTTTGTCAAGAAAAAGGCTGCTCATCTCACATTGCTTAACTGATTCATGGAACTTATTCTCCTAGTTGGAGCTAAGCCAATGAGGAAACAGGATGTAAAGTGGTTTTCACATGTTTCTTGTGATATTTGTGATTGTTTTCATATATTTGTCCTTTCTCTGATTCTCATATGCAGATGCTATTGTTATAAAGCAACATCCAGCAATGAAACTGAAGAAGAAAACACAGTCCTGAATGTGTGGTACTTTACACACATGACTCCAATCCTTCACGTGTCTCTAAGTCGCTGTTTGTTGCTGCATAGCTTTGCAGTGCCCCCAGTCCTGGGCAGTCCCTTGACACTGGGCTCAAACATGTGCCTTGCTCCACACAAGAAAGTGACTCCAGGCCAGTTCCCAGTTTAGCCAATGAGAGGCCTCTCATGTCTTCCTTTACTGTCTTTGGTGCCTCTGATATGAGAGGAGAATGAATCCAGGCCGGCCAGCAGGAGGATGTGCAATACAGGAAGCAGAGCCACATCATCCTAGGTGAAGTGACAGCCATTCCTCTCTGCTTAGGCAGGTGTAGCTGTAGTTAGAAGAGCTGACAGAGCCAACTGTAAAGACAAGAGAGATATGTCAGGCTCGACCTAGTCATGACATGGTTAATGAATATGCTCTTTAATTCCAAGCTACAGTTTGACAAGATACAAAAGTACCGCAATAAAGCGGGGAGCTGATGCAGGTGTTATCTCTACCTGACACAAGTCATGCTGTCTCAGAGCAGACAGAGCACAGAGCACAGGATGGGATGTTCCCAATATAGAGATAACAACTACAAAGTATAGCTTCTTCTCAGTGCAAAGCCATCTGATACTGTCCATGCATCCACCTGGACTGCTTCATGGACTCAGAGTCACTCTTCTATTCCTTCTCCACTGCGCTGCCCCTGGATTCATTCTTCTGTCCTAGATTCATTCTTCAATTTTAGATATCGAGCAGGTTGAGAGTTATAATACTTCCCTTGTTTGGATTATTTTGTTTATTTGGTGCCCTATTGCAGTGGCACATGCCTATAATCTCAGCACTTGGGAGGCTGAGGCAGGAAGATCACTGTGAGTTTGAGGCCAGCCTGGACACAGTGAATTCAAGGCCAGCCTGAACTACATAGCAAGGCTTTGTCTCAAAAACCACAAAGAAGCAAACAGAAAGCCACACACCCACACATTTTATATATTTATATATATATATATATTTCTATTTATATTTATATATATTTATATGTTTTTGTACAATTATTGTGTTAGGTTCACTTGTTTCATGGCAAAAGCTAAGTGACCGCTACTCAGGAAGCTGAGCTTCAACCCCGAGGGTGTGGCAGGCTGGAGATGTGCTGCCTAGGCCCCTTTGACAGAGAGCCTGGGTGAGGACCACAGTCAGCCAACATGGTCTCAGCCATGTCCATCATGCTTGAGCCCATCTGTGCTGTCCCTGCATAGTCCGAGCCAATGCCTGGTCCTTCTAGGAGCTCCTGTATAATGAGATTCTCCTTCTCCATCCTCCACCTGTCCCCTCTCCCTTCGCAAATGGCCTGCACTGTGGTCTGAGGCTTTCCCCTCCTCCTCCCTTTCCCTTTTATTTCACAGGAATTACTCCCAAGTCCTGATTGAACTCAGAACCTTGAGTTTGCCAGGCAGGTGCTGTGCCGCTGAGCTACATCCCCAGCCCTTGTTGTGAACTTGTGATTCCCCTTTGGAATCTGCTTCCCAGAAACTCAAAGGGACCCAAAAAGGGACTGAGCAGTGTACTGAGGGACATGGTGCTTTCATGGCTTCATCCAGACGGACAGCAGCTTTTCTCTCCTGGAGACACACAGCAGAAACCCCTCCAGAGAATGAGGATCCAAGTGGATGGTTTTTCCTGACAACTGAGACCACTGCTGAAGCACAGAGTGTTCAGGCTGCCCTCCCAAGGAGAAGGAACTGTACAGTGATTCTCATTCCCCTTCTAAGATGGGAGGGGAAAAGAGCACACAGTTGGAATTAAACCAAAGAAAGTTTCCGTTGTGTTTACTTTCCTCTGGGTTACCCTGAAGTTACCCTTCCACCTTCCTCAATAATAATGGTATTATTTCAGATGTAATAGAGAATAACATGAAACATTGTAGCAGACATCCCTACCCAATACTAGCAGGCTATGAGTGGCACATGCTTCTTGCCTCCTTAATTTGGCTACATTGTTTTACATCAGGAATCAGATCAAAGCCCTATGTGACTCAAATGGGCATGCCAGGTAGCAGAATTGGGCTACTATTGCTCCTTTGCTAATGGCTGTCACTGAAGACTAGGTTCTGGTCTGTGAAGTGGCAGGGCTCTGCTGAGTTACATGCCGCTGAAGTCAGGGTGACCCCAATTAAAATCCTTTCCCCTGAGTTGTGGCTTCTCACTGACCCAATGGGTTGCTTGCTTATTGCACCTGTCTCAGTACTGGTTTGTTCTATCCAAGCAAGATAAGCAGTGCTTACTCCCTAACAGCCCTGCCTGGTGCCATCATACCAGGTGCTCTGCAGTATTTCACTAGATGCTTTCAAAGCATACCCTGCTCCCTATTCCTTGAAACAATTGTATTTAATAAATACTGGATGCATTTGCATCTTTGTCTTTGTTGCCCAGAGCAGGATTGATAAGGCCCCAAGACGTCTAAATTTTGTTTCTTGTCTTTATTTTTTAGCCTTGTGCTATAATGGCTCACAGGAGGCCAGGACCCACAACAGGGGTTCTGGAAATTCCCCCTTCCCTGGTCCCTATAAAACAGGGCTACACAAAGTCTGCTTTGCTTCAGCTGGGGTGTTCATGGTCTGATTAGGAGGATTTTGGGACTTATTTGTGCTGCAAAGAGTGAGATCATTTGCTGATAAGGAGGTTTAGGATTAGCAGAAAACAGTTTACTTGGGCTGTAAACTGATGAAAACTGTTGATAGTGCTGACCTGTACTGTTCACCCATCACTGCTTCCCAGTGAAGATAATGTATCCTGCGTCAGATGTGCACTTTGTATCACTTGTTCTGCTCATTAGCATCCAGGCATGGAAGGAACTGACATCAGGCAAAAGACAGATCACCCCCAGGAACCCAGGTGGGCTGGTCTGGCAACCTGACCTTCCCAATATTATAGTAGCTATGCTAATTAGATAAGTTGTAGGCAGTTAGAAAAGGGCTGGGCCCTCAAGGGAGTCAATACAGAAGGATATTGAGGCCCATCTACTCAAGGCCAAGACTCAGACTACTACACTCACATACTTCCCCTAGAGATAAGTAACAGTGATAGACATTCTAAATAGGCATCACTCACCTTGGCTGGGGACCAAAACTTCCCTAGGCCATTCCTTCTGGAAAATCCTTATTCGTTCCATGCATACTTGCTATGTGACTTTTCCCCCAATTTGATCCCCATCTAATATTATCTAAGGCACTGTACCTGTATTTTTATTAGTTGATCATGGTTTTGTCCCACTTCATGCCCACCTAGTGATTTTCTACTAGATCTTATCAGTTGACTATAGTCTTGTCCCACTTTGTACCTGCCTCACTTAATGGCTTTGGTCCATAACCCCCCCGACCCCCCGGAGAAACAGGGTTCCAGGCAACTCGCTTTCTGGGTGTCCCTTCCTGTCCCTCTTAGGCAGGAGCTGCTTTTCCCTCAATGAATTTCCCTACTCTTAACCTCTGCTGTTCCTATAATTCATTCTTTGATTTTAGAGAACATGAACTTGGTGTTTCAGACATCTAGCAGGTTGGGAATTATAATATTTCCCATGTTTAGATTGTTTAGATTATTTGGTGCCCTATATGACCATCACTCCAGAGCAGAATTAGAATGAGGAGTAGAAAGCAGCTGTCTCCCTTCCCATGAGGATGTTCAATGCCCCAGGTGATGCAGCCTGCAAAGAGGTCATGTATAATCTCAACTCCACTGCAACAAAATGCACTTCTAGTCCCAGTCCTTCATTAATATCACTGTTCTTCCTTTTCCCACCTCCTTCCAAGCTGAAGTAAATATGGTTCTTCAGATTGCCATTGTCTATTGACAGCATGATTTTGATGTGCAGGTCATTTGCTGACAAGGAGGTTCTGCATTAGCAGGAAACAGTTTACTTGGGCTGCAGACTGGGGAAAGCTGTGGGTGGTGATGACTGTACTGTTCACCTGTACACTCTGGCTTCCCAGTGAAGGCAATAAATCGCGCAGTCCCTTCGCAGTGCGCCTTCATCATGGTCACGATTCTTCCCCTCCCCCAGCCCTCTATGTTTCACCGAATTGCCCCGAAAAGCCCTCTTCACTTCTGACTCCGTTGTGAAAACTGCTTCCCAGAAGACCCACACAGACCCTAGGGGAGCCAGTGGTGTGTACCGAGGGACATGGTGCTTTTGTGCCTTCCTTCAGGTGGACAGTGGCTGTCTCCCACAGAGACACACAGCAGAGAGCCCTGCAGGGAAAGAGCATCCAACTGGATGGCTTTTCCTGAGAACCAAGACTACCTGCTCCAGCACAGACTGTTTATGTTCCAGCTTCTCCGGAATGATTTTCATTCTCCTTCCAAGATGGGTGGGAAAAGGAGGGCACAGTCGGAATTGATAAAAGTGTTGGTTGTGTTTACTTCTCTCTCAGCTGAAGTTACCCTTTGTCTTCCCCTGGCATTATTTCAAATGAAACAGAATAAAGAGTGGCAGCGCTAGGCAAAGTCTGCTTTGCTTCAGCTGGGGTCTTGATGGTCTGGGGAAGAGTTTGGGACATACTTATGCTGCAAAGAAAGAGATTTCCTGATGAAGAGGTGCATCACTACTGGAAGAGGGGTAACCAGAGCTGTGAACTGACGGAAGCTGTTGGGTGGTGCTGACCTGTGCTGCCCACCTCTACCCTCCTGCCTCTCCCAGTAAAGGTAATGTATGGTGCAGTCTGATTTGCACTTTCTATCATGTGTTCCACACACTAACATCAAGGCTTGGAAGAAATGGAAGTCAGTCAGGGAAAGGCAGAGTTCATGCATGGGAACCCAGGTGGCTGGTCTTTTAGCCTGCCCTTCAGGTCCCTCCAGAGCTGGGCCTGCCCTGAGCAGAATTAGAATGAGGTGCAGGAAGCACCCATCTTCCTTCCATGAGGAGCTTGAGAGCCCCAGGTGGTTGGGCCTAGCAAAGAGGCTAAGATAATCTGGACTCCAGTAAAATAATACAGCCAACCCCACTTGTGGTACTGGCCTGTCTTTAATCTCACTTGTTCCTCCTTTCCCTGCCTGCTTCCAACCTGGGGTGGATATATGGTTTTTGAGGGCTGCACCAGTCTGGGGACAGCATGACTTTGATGTGCAGAGTTCCTGTCTTCTTTTCAAAGTCATCTGCATCTCTTGGTCCAACATAAAGTGTCTGATGCCTGGGCCTAGGGAAACCTCAGAAGCCTTGAGCAGCCTGATGGCTGTGAGGATCCAGGATCCTCCTCCCCTGTGGCAACAGGCTCTCAGGGAAAATTGCCCCCAGGAAAAGATTTTAGGGAGGAGCTCCAGTGAAGGGCAGAGCTGGAAGGATGCCACTTGCAGGGAGTTCTGGGAAAGCCAGCAGAAAGGGCTGAGATGCCTGTGAAGGGCCTGAGGAGGCTGGAGATGCCAGTCCAGAGGCATGTGGTCCATGAAGGTTCCAAGTATGGCTAAAGGGGCTACATTTTCCAAACTAGCAGTTTCCCGACAGAAGGAGGTACCCTGGCTTCCCGACGTGGGATGGGCCCAGGACATTTCACACAATTTTGTGAGGTTTTTTGGGGGGGTACTAGGGAATCGAACTAGGGTCCTTGTGCTTGTGCAGCAGGCGGCGAAACCACTGAGCTAAGTCCCTGGGCCCTTTTGTGAGTTATTGACTGAGATGTGGTAGCTGTGTCCCCTGAGACTGCACTGTCAGTCACTGAAAGCAAGGGCCCTGGTCCTTGTCGGAAAGAAGGGGGAAGATGGAGGGCTCATCATGCACCTGGATCAGAGACTATGGCAGTGAGGTCCCTCTGGGGGGGACTTGGGGCTTCCTGAGTTATACTTTTTCTCTTAATCTTTGGGCACAAGCAGGATGTGGTCCATCAAGCCTTTCAACCACAGAACTTTCCAGCTCCTTCCTGAGCTGAGGTTTAAGGGTGGAAGTGGAGTGAGTGGAAATTTCAGGTCCCCGAGTCCTGATTTTCTCAGATAATGTAGTTCTCCCTATGGCCAGCAGGTGGCTCTGAGCCCTTAGTTCAGCCTTCAATCTGTCACAGGCCAGAGAAAATCCCTGGGAGTTGGAGGAAGCTTATTCTGGATGGGACTCTAAAGGTGTTGATGTTAAAGGGCCTCTTATTAGCCATGTTGGCTCCACTATGTGGCTTTAGGGGCAGCCAAGCTTAGTCCAACAAGCCAGGTCCCCAGAACCCTGGCCAGACTTTGAGTAGCCTTTCAGCTCTTCTCCCTCTACATCAGAAATGGGTCAGCAGTACAAGGAGGGGAATCGATGCTGCAGACTGTAGGCAGGCAGAGGGCAGCTTAGAGCTCAGATCAGCAGTGGCAACTTCCTGACCCCTTGGCTTTGCCTCTGGAGCAGTGTGAGACAGACTCACTGATTGGCCAAAGCACACTGCAGGCTTCACTGCCATAGTGGTCTTGGTCTGTGGACTTGTACACCATCCATCTATCTAGCCATCCTTGCATCACTCATTCACTCTGCACTTACTCAGTCCCAGGTTGACTGCTTGGTCAGACACTGTCTCAAACCTCAAGGAGCCGTGAACTGGAGGATAGGAAGACAGAGTCTTCAACACAGGTAAAGGAGAACACCGATAGCCCGGAGGAGGGAAGGGACCATCTTTCCCCAGAGATTTCAGGGAGGACTTCCAGGAGGCATGAATTAGCCTAGACTTCTATAGATTTCAACAGATATGAGGCTTGGGCTGTCCAGGGAAGGGAATAACACAAGCAAAGGCTCCAAGCCAGGCGGTGCAATATTACGTGCCAATCAGGAAGACAGTCAGGAAGTGGGTGGCGGATGCACACAGGGCTGGCAAGAGAATGGGAGTTCCAGGGTAGGAAGGCAGTGAGGGCGTAAAGTGGCTGCCTAAGAAGTCTAGCTGGGACTCTGAAGGTGATGGAGACTCCTAAAGGGTGCACATGAGAGGAAGGGCTCACAGCCCTTGTAAGACTACTTTGCTGGCTGCATGGCAGATGGGTTGCAGGGGGCCAGGTGGAGAGACAAGGACCCCAAGTAACAGGCACTGTCACAGCCCCTGCGATCCCGGTCTGAGCGGGGAGGGATGCAGTGTAGAAAGTTAGACCAGACAGAGAAAAGCATCGGCGAGGGGAAGTACGAAAGCACTTGCTCTCCTAACGTTTGCTTGGTCAGTTTTCTCCCCGTGTGGCTGAGTCCACAGCAGTCACCATGGCTCATTTTTATGGAGCACTTCTGGACCAGGCACTTCAGCATTTCACATGTGCTTCTCACTCCCACCACTATTCTCTGAGGTGGGCACTATTAACGTAATGAAGCAACTGAGACACAGAGAGGGTATTTGACCAAAGTCATACAGCTAGAGGTGGGATTGGATCCCAGGCAGGTGGCTGGAGAGCTCACCCTCCACTCATGACCCTACGGTCTGTGGTGCCTCGCCCCTCTCTCCCTGGGCACCTCAGCCTTTCAGCAACAGGGCCCAGGCTACTGAACAGAGATGATCAGACAAGTTGTCAATGGCCAGACAGGCTGGGTCTGAGGCGGAAAGTCCCCTTCAGCTGGGGGAAGACGTCTCTTTCCTTGCCTCCCTGCTAGGGCCATGGCACGTCTTGAACATGGAGTGGCAGCTGCTAGCCTCTGTCCTCCCCTTCCCCCAACACGCTCAAGGCCTCCCCAGCAAGAACAGCCCAGAGCTGAGGTTGTGGAGGAGCAGGCTTTATTGACAGTGTGTTAGGCAGAATTCTGGGCAAGGAGAGTCCAGGCTGAGGTCAAGCCCAGGGGTCTCTTCATCTTAGGGGACTGATCCACTCCAGCATCCTTAACTTTCCAACATCTCTTTTTCCAGCAACCAAAAGTCACCTCCCCACCTCCACCCCAGCCTCCCACTGAACATCAATTCAAGTCACAGCTTTCCTGGGTGAGCCAGGTGTGAAGTTCATTCTGAAGCCTGTTATATGTGGTTTGAAGTGTGACCCCTCACCTCAGTCCCTGTCCACTCAGCTTGTCAGGGTGGGGACTGGCTGGGACCAGCAGCCCCAGCCCATGGAGCCCTCTCTGCAGAAGCCTGGTGTTAGGGATGAAGGGTGGGAAGCTGGGTCCACGTCCTGCTCTCAAAGCCTTGGCAGCAATCAGCAAAGCCTCCTCCCTCACGTCACCCCCCCACACCCCCGCCTTGCTGCATCCCCTCTCTGGCCTGAGCCTGCCAGCCTCCACCTGTCTCTGTGTGCACAGCATCTGGAAGTCTCTATGCCACCCTCCCTGACTGGTAAGGTCCACCCCTGAGCCCATCACTTCTTCAGAGACCAAGGAGGCCTGCAGCGTGGTCTCAGTTGTTTCTCGAGGGCACAGAAAGAGAGCAGCAGATCCCCAACCCAGGGCTTGTTTTCCCCCAGCCAGTTTCTGCTTGAGGCAGGCCAATTATGGGGGCCAGGACTGGCTTCAGACCCAGCTTTAGGGCCCAGCGATTCCTATAGGCTCCCCAGCCTTGGGCAGGGAGAGAGGGGCAAGCCAGTCCTGAGCTGGGGCTGGGAGAAGTAGGGACAAAAATAACCTAGTATAGAATCCTGCTGAGGCCAGAAATAGCACAGTGACAAGTGCCTTGTAACACCCTGGTCACGCAGCAGGGGGAGGCTGAGCTGGGGTGTCCATCCTCACACGAGGCTCTTGCTTGGCCAGGGGGTCCACATCTCTCCCACTCTACATACCACAACACACTGCCTGAGTGCACACATGCACGGTGGAGTCCCACGGACCATGACTCAGGACAGGGAATCCGGAGAGATGCTAAATTTGGGTTTGGTCTTGGCCACAGGCACACTGCGCTTGCGCAGAGGCCCACGGGTAGAGGCGAGAGTCAGGGCATCGAGCAGGCTGTGGTCCTCATCGAGCTGATGGGCTGTGCAGAGTGGTGTGGGCACTTTAATGGTGTTGCCAAACTTGGAATAGTCCACGGAGTAGCGGCCATCCTCCTCTGTCACAATGGGGACAAAGCGATGGCCCCAGAGGATTTCGTCAGCCAGGTAGGAGGTTCGGGCCTGGGTGGTAATGCCCGTGGTTTCCACCACACCTTCCAGGATGACGATGATCTCAAGGTCCTGGTGGTGGTGCAGGTCGCTGGGTCCCAGGTCGTAAAGCGGGCTGTTGGCATCGATGACATGGTAGATAATGAGCGGAGCCACCAAGAAGATGCTGTTTCCACCCACGCCGTTCTCCATGGGGATGTCCACCTGGTGAAGGGGCACCACCTCGCCCTCGGGGCTCGTGGTCTTTCGTACCACTTGCATGTGGATGGTGGCACTGATGATCATGCTTTTCCGGAGGTCACCCACGCGCAGCATGAAGCAGAGGCGGCCATGGCGCAGAGCAATGACCGCGTGCTTGCTGAAGATGAGGGTCTCTGCCCGCCGGTGTGCCTGGGCCGTCTTCATGAAGATGCAGCCCAGCATGATGGCATTGATCATGAGCCCAACAATGTTCTGTACAATGAGGATCAGGATGGCCAGTGGGCACTCCTCTGTCACCATGCGCCCACCAAAACCAATGGTTACCTGGACCTCGATGGAGAAAAGGAACGCAGATGAAAAGGAGTGGATGCTGGTAACACAGGGCACTGTTGTGCCCTCGCCAGGGGCCAGGTCACCATGGGCAAAGGCGATGAGCCACCAGATCATGGCAAAGAGCAGCCAGCTGCACAGGAAAGACATGGTGAAGATGAGCAGCGTGTGCGGCCACTTGAGGTCCACCAGTGTGGTGAACACGTCCTGCAGGAAGCGGCCCTGCTCCCGGATGTTCTTGTGGGCCACGTTGCAGTTGCCTTTCTTGGACACGAAGCGAGCCTTCCGCTCTCTGGCGTGGTACCTGGGCTCGGCCGGGTCCTCTGCTAGACGAGTCAGCACGTACTCCTCAGGGATGATGCCTTTTCGGGACAGCATGGCTTCAGGGACCCCAGGGAGGGGCTCCCCTCATGGGGCACTGTCCTGGCCGGGCCTAGGGTCCCCTGGCCTGCGCACGCTCACCTTTCGGCCACCCTCAGCCTGTGCTCGCCTCACGCCTGCGATGCCGTCCCCACCATGCTTTCCCCACCTCCACTCGATCCTGCTTCACACTTCAGCCCAGCTGCCTGTCGCCCCCTGCGCCCCTCTACCTGCCGGCTCCCCACCTGGCCCTGGGCCGCAGCCCCCTCTTCTCCACCAGCTGCGCACCCCAGGCCTCCCGAGAGCTCTCCTCCCTGCCCAGCCCTCACACGACTCAGAACTTAACACCTCCGGATCTTACCAACTAACCAGACCCGCACAGTCTCCACCGCTCTCTACCTCGCCCATTCCTGTCCCCAGATGCCCCTCTCCGACCTCCAGCCTCGGTCCTGGCCCCTCTCCAGGCTCCCCTCCAAGAGTGCCCCTATTTGCCACCCCTCCCCTCCCCTGGCGCTCCCCGCCGCTCTCTGGATGCCTCTCCAGCTCCTGTCCTCTCTGTCTCCTTGGGATCCTGCGCCTTCCGAGTCACCACTCCACCCGGCTCAACTCTGGATCCCCTCGCCCCCCGGGAGACCTGGCCGGGCTCGCTCCGCGCCGCGGCCTCCCGGTGCCCGCCCGCGCCCCCGCCGCCGCCCCGTCCTTGCCCCGCCCGCTCGTCGCCGCCGCACCTGCTCCTGCTCCTCAAGCCGCAGCCATCGCCTCCCCCGCCCCTCCCGCCCTCCGGAGCTCGCGGCCGGCAGGTTTCCCGGGCGGTCAGTCGGTCTGTCGCTCGGCGGACAGAGACCTGTGCGAGGCAGGGGCAGAGGATCAAGGTTGGGGGAGCTCGAGGAACGGAGTGGGGACTTGGCGCCGCCAGGGGGAGCCCGACCTGTTCGCCAGAGGGAGAGGGGCGGGCATCGGCGCAGTCCCCGCCCACTTCCCCGCCCTCTCCCCGCCCTCTTTCCCCGGACTCAATCTGGCCTTCAGGGCCGGTCTAGTCGCGGGGACCAGAGAGGTCCTCTGGCCCACAGTCTGTGAAATTGATGGGCGAGAAGGGAGCCACTACCCACACTCCTAGCCTGGGACAGCAGCCCTGTCGCCCTGGCTCCCCTTCCCTGTTGTCCCCATCCGCAGCTGGACTCCCAGGGACAGGAGACACGGAGGTGGCGCCACAATCTAGGTGGCCCCAGGACTTCCCAACTGACCCCCTCCCCGCTTTGGGAGATCTGTTTACTCTCTAATCCTCTGAGAATCTGATAAATCTCGCCTCATTAAAACAAAACAGCAGCAAAAAACTACCTTAGCAGGTATAGGAGCACAGTGACACCTTCTTCCACTGGGCTCCCTGTGTGGCCCAGGGGCCTGAGTGCTCCACCTTCTTAGTCCTGAGGGGCCCAGCCCAACCCTGCTTCATAAAGAGGAGTTGAGCCTCAGCTTGCTTTACACCCCTCCCAGTTGTATCGGAATTCTTCCAACTTAGGTAATGGAGGAGTTAAACTGTTTTAAGCCCAGCTTGGACAGTGGGGGACCCAGGCTCTGGGTCTGGACAAGGGTGATGTTTCTCTCGCAGGCATTAGCCTAGGTTTACCCGTTGTATTGTTGGAACAGTAGTGGCTCCACCCTCTGTGGGGCTCAGGTCTTTAGAGAGGACCCCAGCCCATATTTGACTGTTGGAGTCAGGCTTCAGGTGGGTCTGGAAGGCTGGAGGCATTAGGGTTGTGGGCTACACAGGGCATGGTGTGACTTTTATACTGAGTTTTCCTCCTTCTCTCCCCTACCCATCTGTAGGTTGTGTGAACCCTGCTGCAAAGGCTGTGATCTTGAGCTGTAAGAAAAGAGATACAGTGCCTAAGGTGGGGGTTCGGGGGTGGGGACATGATGAGCAGAATGGGACCCTCAAGGAGACAACATTACAAGGGTAGCCTCTGAGGCAATTACTGTATAGCATTTTAGCCATCAGGAAGGGAAGCTTCCTTGGACAGCTCAGGGGTGGGGGGCTTGGGTACCTTCGCAGAAACCCAGGAATCACAGGAGGATGGGCTGGTAGTTTTGCATGGTACAAAGGGAAGACCCGGACACTGAGTGGAACAGAGGCAGGCTTTGATTTTACATATACAAGGGTTAATTCTAAACTGAAACTAAAAGTGACCCAGCTCTGAGGGGAGTTCAGGGAACCTTGGTAGGCCATCAGGATATTGTGGCGGGATCTGGCCAGGTGGCCTCAAGCATCCTTACAAGACTTCCCTGCCTTGTGCTGTTACTTTGCTTCAATGCTTGGGGGAAGATAGGCTCCGGTGGGTGGAATCCTCTTATGGCTCCTGGCTCTGCCCGTGGGAGACCGCACTGCGGAGGGAGCTGTTGGCCCCAGAGGCATCTGAGCTGGAAAGGCCAGGACCTACTTCACGGGATAGCCCCAAGGCTCAGCTCTTCCAGCTCCACCCTTTCTACCCAAGGTGCTCAGCCTCCTCCTCTCCTCCATCTGCCTGGCTCATATGCATCTCCCCCAAACACTGCCCTGTCAGGTACCTTTCTTGTACAAAGCCCTTTTATACTTCCCTTTTGCCCAGAAGCCTATCCCATGCTTCTTGTCCTGGTGTTCAAGGCTCTCTGATCTCATCCCTCCTGCCACCTTCATCCCCACCCCACCCTGCCTCCCTGACCAGCCAGCACACCTAACTCACTTCCATCATCACTCCGTAGCTCCTGGCCCCCCATCCAGATTTTATCCTTCCTGTGCTGAACTCAAATCCTGGCTTTCCCAGGCAGCCTGCCAGTCTTCACAGAGTTCTCCCTTCCTGAGCTCTGTGGCTTCTGCACAGCCAGAAGGGTCTCCTCCACGATGGCTGGGTCTTCCTTATGTTGTGTGGCTTGGACCCTCTATCTTGGGAGAGGGTTGCAGGCCTAAGACTCCTAGGTCTGCAGCCCAGGACCTGGCAAGCCAGTACTGCAGGCAGTAGGTCAAGGATAATGAGATGCAAATGAGCACCTGTCATTTCCCAGCTGGAGGAGGTGACACTCCTGTTTCCTGATTCGGATGGAGTCAGGACAAACTATTGTTTTGATCTCCCCGAGTCTGTGCCCAGCATCTCCCTGCCACCACCTGGCTGCCTTCTACATGCACTGTCCCCCCCTTTGAAGGACTGACTTCTCCCACGTCTGAATGCCCCTGCTCGGGGGACAGAGAAGGGGACACGGGATCCAGGCCTAGTCCGTGGGGATAGAGAAGGGGACACGGGGTCCAGGCCTAGTTAGTGTGTTCCAGCCCTCTGGGCACTGTGCTTGGGTGGGGATGGGGATGTGACAAAGTTGATCGACATTCACTTCTAAAATTTTTGCTGGAACCACTGGGAAACAGCACTTTTTCCTGTTGGTTGTCCTGGGGCAGGATGTAAGTTGGAGCGGCTAAGTGTGTCATCACGGAACCGAGAAATGGAGACACATCCCTGGTGTCAAACACCAGAGTCGCCAGTCACTGAAATACTGTGCCTCCTGGGCTTTCCTGTCACACTGTCAATTCAGTTACTTTTAGTTGGGTTCCTATCATTCACAACAGAAACAGCGCTGATCCAGGGCACCAGGACTCACAGTTTTAATTCAAGAATGACAGTGAGAAGGGAAAGGCCTCAGTTGGGTGGGCATCTGTTACCTTAACCAAGAACGCACCACAGAAATGCTATCACCCTTGCTATGGATTGAACTGTTCCCCCCAAATTCATAGTCTCATTCCTATACTTCAGTGTGGCTGTATTTAGACCAGGGCCTGTGAGGAGGCAAAGCTCAATGAGGTCACTGCCTGGTGCCCTTAATGAGGAGAGGGGAGGAGAGAGAACAGGGGAGGGGAGAAAAGGATGGAGGAGAGGGAGGGAGAGAAGAGAGGGGGAGAATATGAATGAATATCAGGACACAGAGGAAAGGTCACAGAAGGACAACTGAGAAGGTGGCTCAGGAAAAAACCAACCAGCCAACACCCTGACCTTGGACTTCAGCCTCCTGAACTGTGAGAAGTTTGTTTCTGCTGTGAAAGCACCCAGTCTGTGGCACTGTGGTGACAGCCCGAGCTGACTAACACAGCCCTCATTTCACACATCAGGAAACACGCTTTTCCCGTGCTCAACGCCATCTTCCTGGCGTCAGAGCCAAGCTGGCTCCCTGTACCCACAGGCCACCGCAGCCTCAGCGACAGAGCTGGGCCTCCCGTAGGAAATAATCGATCTCTTTATTTACAAGTGATTTACAGTTAGAAAAACCAGGCAAGGTGGGGCAGGGTGCAGGTAGAGGAGATGGCACTTGGGCGCTGGCAGGTCACTTGTCTGCTCGGACAAAGGAGGCGAAGACGCTGTCCTTCCGGCTGAGCAGGTTCTCTGGCTTGTCCAGCTCTAGGATGGCGCCCCGCTTCAGGACCATCACCATGTCTGCGCTGAGGATGGTGTGCACACGATGCTGGGGGCAGGAGGGGCTGGTCAGGGCAGGCAGAGAGGGGCAGGGCAGCTGGCGTCCCATCTCTAAGGTGACTGTCCCTGCCTGGGGTGGCTGTGACCAAGGCCTCCACCCACTGTGACCACCCTTCTGCCTCCAAGTCTCAGCTCTGCCCTGCCTCCAGACTTCAGGACTCAAGAGACCACAGTCCCCAAGCCCCCATCCCCCACTCCCTATGGAGAAGTAACCCCAGCCTAGCTCATGGGGCCTTGGCACAGGGGTGACCTTGGTACCGGGAGGAACCCAGGATCCTTTCTTGATGACAGCCCCAGGAAGCCACCCCCTCCCTGGGTGATCCCTGCACACCATCAGTGTGCCGCTTACCGCAATGGTGACCACAGTGCGGTCTGCGAAGGCTGTCATCACCACCTTCTGGAGGATGTTCTCCTGTCAGGTAGAGGCAGCAGCTGTCGACCCACTCACCCCCTGGATGGGGTCTGGCCTGGCTCTGGGGCCCTGGGATTGTGGCCCCATGCCCATCTGACTCCAATCCTAGACCTACCTCCACTTCTCTCTGGCCCTGGTCCCCTAGGACTGTGAGGAGCAGCATTCAGGGGCTGGCCCCAGCCTGGCAGGGGCTCAGCTCTGTGCATGCACGTGTGCTACTCTTTCGTGGTGGAGGGCGGGGTGAAGTCTGCGTGTGTGTGTGGAGTCATGGTCCCCCAGCCCTGATGCTGAAGGCAACCGCGGGACGACTTTATGCAAACTCTTCCCTAACACCCTACTAAAAGCGCTCTGTGGATATGCCCAGGACCAACCGTGGCCATGTCGATGGAAGCTGTGGCCTCGTCCATGATGAAGATGCTGGTCTTTCTCACAAAGGCCCGAGCCAGGCAGAAGAGCTGCCTCTGGCCCTGGCTGAAGTTCTCCCCGCCCTCTGTGATGATGGCGTCTGAAAAGAGCCCCAGGAGGGTGCAGGGCGGAGTTAATCCTTCGAAGGAGAGGGGAGCACCCGGGAGGCTGTCGGGACACGTGTGTACAGGGTGGACGTGTGGATGTGCATCAGTGAGTGCAAGTGTGTGCAGGGCTGATACACATGACACAGTGACACACGCAGTTGGCAGGGACTGCAGTGAAAGGCACCCCCTCTCTCAGTGCTGTGCGAGGCCTGACCCTGGGCAGTCACTCAAGAGAGTAAATGCACGCATGTGTGTACAGTGTGTGCCACACAAGTAGGGGCTTGGTGAGGGTGATCCACTGAAGCCTGAGTGTGGCCACCGGACACTGCTGTAGGACCCATGACACACCAAAATTGTGTTGACCCCTGGAGGGACCTGCGTCTGAGACTCCCCTCTCTGTCCTGTCCTCCCGCAGGGCAGGTGGATGGGGCAGGGAAGAGCTGAGGATACCACTGTGGTAGGGGGGACTTTCAATC